CTCGGAGGCCCCCCCCCCCGAGGCCTGAGGCAGAACTGCGGGCAGCATCTGCGGGGGCCTCCACGAGGAGGCCTCAGGGCCTCCCGCGTGCCCAAGGAAGTGCCTCCCGAGGTGCCTCAGAGTTCTCCGGAGGCCCCCCCCCGAGGCCCTGAGGCAGAACTGCGGGCAGCATCTGCGGGGGCCTCACGAGGAGGCAGGGCCTGCGTGCCCAAGGAAGTGCCTCCCGGGGGGAGTCTCGGACTCAACTGTTCATCCGAGGAGGGGCCCCCTCCCCCCCTGAGGCTCCTGAGGCCCCCCCCCCCCGAGGCCTGAGGCAGACTGCGGGCAGCATCTGCGGGGGCCTCCACGAGGAGGCCTCAGGGCCTCCCGCGTGCCCAAGGAAGTGCCTCCCGAGGTGCCTCAGAGTTCCTCCGAGGCCCCCCCCCCCGAGGCCCTGCTGAGGCAGAACTGCGGGCAGCATCTGCGGGGGCCTCCACGAGGAGGCCTCAGGGCCTCCCGCGTGCCCAAGGAAGTGCCTCCCGAGGTGCCTCAGAGTTCTCCGGAGGCCCCCCCCCCCCGAGGCCCTGAGGCAGAACTGCGGGCAGCATCTGCGGGGGCCTCCACGAGGAGGCCTCAGGGCCTCCCGCGTGCCCAAGGAAGTGCCTCCCGAGGTGCCTCAGAGTTCTCCGGAGGCCCCCCCCCCCCCCCGAGGCCCTGAGGCAGAACTGCGGGGAGCATCTGCGGGGGCCTCCACGAGGAGGCCGGAGAGCGGGGAACAAAACGCGCAGAAGAAAGACATCGGCCTTCCTCTTCTCTTTCTCGACAGTCGAACCACCGAGGAAAACAAAACGTCTCGACCCTCATCTTAGGAGGCATCTTCTGGGAGGTCTTCGTGGGAACGATTCTAAGGGCTAGCTAGTTGGCCCGATTAAGGGGCCACTGAGCTGGATCAGGCCAGACTCTGTCCAAGATAGGAACGGACTGCATGTGAGTAGGCGGAATTGAGCAAGATTGTGACAAATGAGCCCAGTTTTCGACAACGGGTATACCAGCGCCGATTCTGAATTTGACCCCCTCCAAGAGTCGCATCCAAACCTAAGAACCCGTCTTTCTAGTGTTCGCGACGACGCCCAAGACTGGCCCCGGCCCCCCCCACTCCCCCCCTGGGTCGCGTCACGATCCGCACTGGCGCGAACCGAGACATGACCGAGCCCCCCCCCCTGCCCACGCCCCGTGGTCACGCCCGCTATCGCGAGGGGACGAAAAAAACTGTCCCTGACCTCCCGTGAGTCACATCCTAACCCCCTCCTCCTCCTCCTCCTCCTCCTCCTCCTCCTCCTCCTCCTCCTCCTCCTCCTCCTCCTCCTCCTCCTCAAACCTCAAGCCTCCAGGGTCGCCCTCCCTGGGCATGAGGTGAGCGGGCCCCCAGGGCAAACGGGGTCGTCAACGTCGTCGTCGTCATCGTCGTCATACTATGCCTCTTCTCATTCCTCTTCTTCCTCGTCTGCGTTCCCTTCCTCCCCCACCTACTCTTGCTGACTGCTTCGACATTGGCCGATGGGGATGCGCGGAGCGTAAAGACTTCAGCCTCCCAGGAGCTTTGCATCCTGACTTGACTGATCCTCCTCCTCCCGGGCGGGTGGTACAGTTGGGCTGCTGAAACAAGGAACGAAGCTCCTCTGCGGCTTCAAAAAAGCCTGGGTGCTCGAGAAGGGCTAAAGGAACAACCGCGGAAGGACGTAAGGAACATCGAGCCCCTTCTGAATCCAAACTGTTCCTTATTTCAGCGTCTTGCCTGTAATGGGGGGTTGCCTAAACGGGGGGTGCAAAAAGCGCCCCCAACGGGGCCCTTCAGGGCTCCCATTGGAGCCAGCAGAAGCCCAAAAGGGCACCTGCAGGGCCCCCGCACAGTGGACCTCTCCTCATACCGATACAGCTGCTCCCCGGACCTCTCCGGGCATGCGTTCTGACCAGGACTTCGAGGCGCATCCAGCGGCGGCAACGAGGGCCTCCGAGGAGGCCGAGAAAGGAGAAAACGGGCGCGAAGGATAGCGGTATCGGCACCTGTTCCTCCTCAGGTCGCCCCCCAACGCATCCCGCCCGATCCTCGAATCTCGAGCCTCCAGGGCCGCCCTCCCTGGTCGGACTGGGCGAAAGGGGGGGATAGCAAAGGGGGGGTTTGAGAATCAGCTCACGTAGCTGATCTTCCCCTTGCCTCCCGGCGCCGGAGGCGCCCATGCATCGAGGAAGGGGCCCCTCGGTGGGGCCGAAACCAGCTGCATGCAGCAAATGTCGTGACCCCCGACGTCATGATTTTTTCATGACGCGACCCCCAGAGGTCCAGACCCATTCCCCGGGACCGGTTTTTCATCCCGAGTCGTTTTTTGACGCTCCCGAGGCCCGGCGAGGGCCCCCGGAGGCCGAAAATAGAGAAAAACCTCCCGTCGTGATTTTTTCATGACTCGAGGAGGTCTGGGAATGTCGTGACCCCCCCTTTCCCAATCCCCCCTCTCGTCCGGCCCGGCCTGGGCGCGAGGCGAGAGTGAGCCCCCCCCCCTGGACCCGCGGGGCGACGGGCGGCCCAGGGCGAAGCACAACGAGAGGAGGCACAAAGAGACCTGCCACGAGAGGCCCCGCCCTGAGGCCCCTGGACGTCGCCGTCGGTTTTGTTTGGTGGGGGAACGGCACGCTTTCCAGCCTCGAGACCCTCGAGGCCCAGGGAACCCTCCTCCGGCCCACGGGCGACGCGGTCCTCTGGACCCGCGGGGCCCACTGGAGCCGCGAGGCGAAGGGCGGCCCTCTGTGGGCCCGCGGGCGCCTCCCCCCCTCGGGCCTCGGTGTCGTCCTGGGCCGTGCTCCGACGGCCTCCCTCCTCCCTCCTCCCTCCTCCCTCCTCCCTCCTCCCTCCTCCCCCCTCCCTCCTCCCTCCTCCCCCCTCGGGCCTCGGTGTCGTCCTGGGCCTCCCTCCTCCCTCCTCCTTCCCCGGGGGGCCCATGGATGTGGCAGGAGAGCGACCGCCTCGAGAGAAGGGGCTGCCAAGGGTGCCCCTGGCCCAGGGCACCGAAGGCCCCAGCGGCAGGGTCCGCACGGCGTACCCGCGCTCGTTCCGGCGTCCCCCCTGGCACGCGCCGTGGCCCCACGGGAAGCTCCAGCCACGGCCCGAGTGGAAGGGTGCGCCTGGCGCCGCTGCCATGTCCGCACACCCCTCCCTCTGCCCCCCCTGCTTCTTCTCACTTGCCTCGCTGCACCCGCAGCTTCATATGGTTGGGCCCTTCGCCAGGAGGATAATCCGATCCAGGACACCCCCGATGGAACTTTCCAATGTTTGAAACGGTTCGATGCAGTGAATGCGGGATTCACATTTTTAGTTCCAGACTTTGCGCTCGATCTGGAGCCTCGGACTGGAAACCTCTGAGTCTCGGCAGTGCGAAAATTCCAACCGGTGCCTGCAAACTCAAGTGATGATCGGACCCAAACCCATCCACAGAACCGACTGTTCGGGGTGTGGCCGCGAGGAGGGAGGTCGGCCATAGAACACTGCAGACCCCACTTCGCGTACTCTAGATTTCGTAATAAAAGGGAGGGGGTCTGGACCCTCCAAGACAAGCCATTTCAGACCCCCCCCGTGGGAAAACCCTCCAAAACATCGTCCCCAGACCCCCTCGGGCCCTCCAAGATAGCCTGGAAGAGACCCCCCCCCCCGAAATGAGATCCCCCTCCCTTTACTACGAAATCTGGAGCAGGCAATCTCGTCGGCCGGTTGGGCTGCGCACTCCCCGTGCAGGCTTCGACGTCGTGCGTTTTTTTCCGCGAGTGTCCGCAGATCCAGGATATGCTCCTCCACGATCCTGCCCGAGGCACACATACCTATGCTGAGTTGGCCCACACTAGGGGGAAGACAAACCGACCTCGCTTTGGACCACCCTCGCTTCCAAGAGATACCAAACGATGCCAAATTGCAGCCTGCACTGGTCAGGCCGCTTGACGAGGAGGCGCGTGGTATGGCCTGGTTTTGCCTGGAAGCGAAAGCGGGGCAGGCAATTCACGCTCTGAAAGACGGGGCCCCTGAAGTCCCCCGACCCTTGCCCCGGGACCGGCTTTTTTCATCCCGAATCGTTGTGTGACGGTCCTGGGGCCCAGCGAGGCCCCCCAGGGCCCGAGAAAGGCGAAAAAGCCTCCCGCCCTGATGTTTGTTTCTCGGCGCGCTCGCGTCTGCGTACATACTGCCCGCCTCGAACGCATCCCTATCCCCAAGATCGACACGCCAAAAGTGGCGATGGCCATCCTGGGGATGCGCCCTCGAAAGATGAGGGAAGCCCTAAGATTGGCATCGTGAGGAGGAGGTGCCCAGCATAGGGATAGGGGATGTGTTGATATGTTCCAGGCTGGCAAACATACACACACGCCCGAGCGACGCCAAACCGCTGGCTCGCCGCACCGCCTCGGGGGCGCCCCCGCGCTCCTCCAGCGGCGGGGCGCCCCGGCCGCCCCTCGGGGGCGCGCGGGGGGGGCAGGAGCGCCCAGAACCGAGTCGGCAGGTCGGGCCGGCGATCGAAGCGAATCGGAGCGGCGAGAAAATCGGCAGCCGAGTCGGGGAAGAGTCGAGTCGGCGGAAACATCGGCGGGCTCGCGTGCGCCTCCGACAGAAAAAAAAGATCGGGGCCCGAGTCGGAGCCCCGAGTCGAGTCGAATGCGAGCCGGAAGTAGTCGACGTCAACCCCCGGGGGGGGGCCCAGAGGAGGAGGAGGAGGAGGAGATGGAGGAGGACGAGGAGGACGAGGAGGAGGAGGAGGAGGAGGAGATGGAGGAGGAGGAGGAGGACGAGGAGGAGGAGGAGGAGGAGGAGGAGGAGGAGGAGGAGGAGGAGATGTAGGAGGAGGAGGAGGAGCAGGAGGAGGAGGAGGAGGAGGAGGAGGAGGAGGAGGAGATGGAGGAGGAGGAGGAGGAGGAGGAGGAGGAGGAGGAGGAGGAGGAGGAGGAATCGGAACGAGCCCCCAGGGGGCGGGCGGCAGGAGGGCGGCCTCTTGCCGACCAGCTCGTTCAGCACGAGCGCCTGGCGCCGCGCCGCGGGCAACGGAGGCGCGGGGACACACAGCAGCCTGGCCGGAGGAGCGGAGCGGGGGGGTACGTCGGCGAAACGGAGGGGGGTACGTCAGGGGGGGTACGTCAGGGGGGGGGGGTACGTCAGGGGGGGTACGTCGGGGGGGTACGTCAGGGGGGGGTACGTCGGGGGGGGGGTACGTCAGGGGGGGGTACGTCAGGGGGGTACGTCAGGGAGGGGTACAACAGGGGGGTACGTCAGGGGGGGTACGTCAGGGGGGGTACGCCGGCGAAACGAAGGGGGACTAAAAGCCTCGTCGGGAAGCTGTTCGGCCAGATTAGGTCGCGGAGTAAGCGGGATTACGCTGCATTGAGCGGGACTGCGCGGGATTAGCCCGAATTCAGCGGGACTGACCAGGATTTCGGACCAGGTAAAAGTCAGAATTTTACCTCCCAAGAGCATCCGAAGGTAAGAGGAGGGGGGTGTACGCAGCAACCCGCAGTTGCGGAATTGAGATTGAGCAGGGACGGACCAGCCCAGGATTCCCATAGGCCGACCATGAAATGTTGATAGAACCGTCAACAGTTCAAAGAAAGGAAACAATGCCCTTGGAACAGACCCTAACCAAGGTTATGTGTTAGAACAAAACTGTATCAACCATAAACGTTATGATTACATCCCGTGCAGACCACAAGAGGTTATTTGAACATGATGTGGTGGCCCTAAGGGCAAGCCGGGGCGCTTCGCCATTGCTCGATAAGAGCGAAGGAGCGGGCGAGGGGTGGGTCGCGGGGGGAAACGACAACAACAAGAAAACAGGCGAGTAGCATCCGGGCCACAAGCTCTCCCACTTCGCCCGCGTGCCCGAGGATGGTGTAAGACCGTTCGGCCCCCTTGCTCTGACATCGTGAGACGCTCTCTAGAGACAGAGAGATGCATACGTAGACGCGTGCCGATCACCGCTTGCTGGGGGTGAGAAGGCGTGTGGGATAAATTGCTGCCCTCCTCCCCCTCAGTGTCCCCCTTCCGCAGGATCGACAATCCATCCATTTAGAACGGGGGCGCCCGAGCTCATCCAGGGAGCGGGGGGCCCCAGGCTGTCCAATGCAATCCCCTGGGGCCTCCAGAGCCACGAAATCTACACTCCGTGGCCTCCGATTTGCCCCAGATGCCATCTAAGCTAGCTCCTGCTGGGCTCCAACACGCCGAGGAGTACGACCGCCCAAGACGGACCCAAGAAGCAAACATAGTCCCAATTCCTTCGGAGAAAGTATGTTCGTGCCATGGTTGCATTTTGTGTGTCCAAGACGGCTCGAGACGCGTCCCAGGGGGCAGCTCCAAAGGCTCCCAAGATCGCTCCAGACGGCCCAAGAAGCCGCCAAGCGAGCCCCAAAGTCGATCCAGGATGGTCCGAGGGCCCAAAGAGGGGCCCAGGAGAGGCAACTCGCATTGACAGTGCGAGCCCTGCCACCCCAAGGGGGATCCCCGAGACAGCCAGCAGGCGCCCAAGAAACTCCCAAGACGCCAGAGATGCCGCCAGAGGGCCCAGCGAAGATCCAAGAAACTCGCGCTGAGCGCCAGATTTGTTTCCCCAATCAGTGCTTGCACTGAAGGGGTCCTAGCGGATATTGAAAGATTTGGCGAACATTTCCCGCCGATTTTGGTAGCCGGCTATGCTCCCGAGTTCCCGGTTCCAGGTTCCCGGGTTTCTGGTCATTGGTTCTGGGCCGATTTCGGTGCGTTCTGGGTTCCCGGGCTCTGGGGTTCCCAGTCGATCGCCTCATCGATCTCTTGATCGATCCCATTTCAAACCATCCACTGATCGGGTTTTTTGAGCAGGGACCGACCGTCCCGTCATTCGATAAGACTACCACGAAGCGCTCTTAGAACCATAGAAAGGTTCTAAGATCAAAAACAATGCTCTTAGAACATAAACCCGATGTCTGAAAAGAAAACAGAATCCGCCAGAAACGTTCTGAGAGCATTCCGTGCAAACCATACAAGGTTCTTAGAACACTCTCTGGCGGGCCTGTGCCTGTATAGGCGAGCCAGGACGCTTCGCCACTGCTCGATATTCCCTGGTGTGAATTAAATGTATGTCGTTTTTCCAGCGGCCAGGGCGGGAGACTAGGACGCGGACTCGGACCCGGACTCGGCCTGCGTCTTGCACCGCGGGGGTGCTCCAGGGTGGGGCCGAAGCGCCTGGGAAGCACAGGCGTGGGAAGCAGCGGCATCGCAAACCTGCAGGGCGAGGGGGGGGGAGGGAGGAGAGTGGAAGCCGGCCGGCCGCTCAAGACAAGGATTAAGTCGGGCGTGTCCCCCTACACAGGAATTTCGACGAAAAATACAAAAAATTGAAAACTATTCCGAAATTGGCAAAAATACTAAAAAAAATGTCCCCTGACAATTTTTCAACTGTTCTTGAATATTCCTCCTGTGGAGGGACGGGCCCGACTTCAGGATAGGAGCAGGCGTCGGAGCCGAGTCGGGACGGGGCGTGGAGGGCGCGTGGAAGCCGTACTTCACCGGCGAGGCGTAGCGGACCCAGGCGCAGTGCCACGGCAGGCTCCTGGCCGGCCCCCCCACGCCGGCGGCCGCGTCCCCGGCCCCAGCGATGGGCCTCCCCTGCCTCTTGGCGGCGCGCACAGCCCAGATTGGACGCCCGAGTTATCCGGGGTAACTCGGGTCCGTGGTAACTCGGGCTTGGATTCCCGAAAAAGGAACCCGAGTTATCCCTGACCCGAGTTACCCCTGATGATTCGGGGCTCTGGACGCCCGAGTTATCCGGGGTAACTCGGGTCCGGGGTAACTCGGGTTTGGATTCCCGAAAACGAACCCGAGTTATCCCTGACCCGAGTTACCCCTGATGATTCGGGGCTCTGACCAGACCCCCTCGAGCAATGAAAAAATCATGGCGGGAGGTGTTTCACCAGTTTCGGCCTCTGGGGGCCCTCGCCGGCCCTCGGGACCGTCAACAAAACGACTCGGGATGGAAAGCCGGTCGCGGGAACTGGGTCGGGACCCCTGAGGGTCGACGCTGTGACAGAATCATGACGTCGGGGGTCTGGGAAGGGGGTATAGGGGGGAGAGCTTCTTCGAAAGAGTCGGCGATCTTCTGACCCGGGTCAATCCAGACCCAGGTCAGCAGGAAACCAAAAACTGCAATGCAGGAAAACAAAAACTGCAAAGCAAATCTTCGCAAACCCGGGTCAGCCAATACGCGCGGCCGCCTCGCGGCCACGAGCGGCTCGCTAACCCGGGTCAGCCAGAGGGGGTCTTCGCAGGATCCTGCAGGATCTGGCGCCCTGGCTGACCCCCGTTTGCATTGACCCCCGTCTCAAGGCTCCCGAAAGAGGCTGCTTCTTAGAGAAGGCGCCGGCCTCACACCTATAGAGAAGGCCCGCGCCTCCTAAGACGCAGAGGTGCTTCTGAGAAGCCTTCCCCCCTCCCGCTACCCCCCCTCTTTCCGCGTGGCCGACCCTCGTCTCCTGTGCTCCTGATGTTCTTCGTCCTGCTTCTCTTCGTTGAGACGAGCGCGGTCCACGACTCGGAAAAGTAGCTGCGCTGGCGGCCGCGTTCCAGCCCCACCGATCGGCCTCCCTCCCTCGTCTCCTGTTCTCCTGCTGTTCGTCGTC